AGGGGTGTCACAGTTCCGCTCTCCCCGCGCGCGCCCCCGGGGGCTGCGGCCGCTGCTGGGCCAGTTTGAGGGCGGGGGGCGATTCTCTCGGAGGGCGAGGGGAGAAAGCCTGCCTTCCGGGGCCGGCGTGTCTTTTGCCAGATGCCTGTTGTTCAAGCTCTTAAAGACGCCGCGCGGCGCCCAGGCTTTGCGAGGTCCCCCGTCCGCAGAGCGCGCGGATCCCAGACTTGAGGGGGCCCCTGGGCCGGAGCCGGAGAAAGGAGGGCGGCCGGCTGCCTTTTTAGAATCACGGGGTTTCCTGCTCGGCTTCAGCGCGCTGCAGTGTCGCGGCGAGGCGCACCGCTCGCGCCCCCTGCTCGTGCCCCAAGCCCAGAGCTTTCTCCCGCCTGGAAACAAAGCCGAACGGCCCTAGCACTCCGGCTGCGTGGAGATTTAATTTTTTTTTTTTTTTTTTTTTTTTTTTTTTTTTTTTTTTTTTTGTTTTTTTTTTTTTTTTTTTTTTTTTTTTTTTTTTTTTCTTCCCTCCTTTTCGGGCTTCCATTGGTCCAGTCCGCGACTGGGGAGAGGGGGGAGGGGAGGGTTATCGATCCCAGGCTTGCAAAACCCAGCCCCTCGAATCCCCCTTTCCCGGCGCCGTGAAGGATCGGTGGCGGACTTTCCCCTACTCGCAGCTCGTCGGGAGAGGGTCCCGGCACCCGGGCTCGGCGGCGGGAAGGACGCAGGAAGCGCGCCTCTTCCCCCCTGCGGGGCGAAAGCGGCGCCGCGGGGCAGGACTGATTTCCTGGCAGCCTACCCGGGGGCGGCTGCGGCTTTAACAATCGGGGAGAGGCGTCCGGGGGAAATGGGAGGACGAGGCTTCTCTGTAATGAGTTTTGTGCCTGGGCTCTCGGGGGAGAAGATCTTTATCGCTTAGACTTCTAAGCGCCCTATTTTCTCTTCTTACGCTGGGGCTCAAGTGGGGGAGGCGGGCTTTTGATTAAATGTGTAAGTGTGCCAAGGTAATTAGCCTTTGGTAATTTTTGCCTAATTTTTCTGCCTCTGTTTAAAAACGATCTTGACGTGTTTGAAACGTGACCCTGCTGTTTCATCCCGCCACGGCAAGGTCCCCCACCCACCCAAACATCCCAACCGGATGCTAGGTTTTCAAATAATATACAGATGTTCGGAGATCCTCCCGCAAGATGTGATTAGGGAAGCAGTTTCACACCCACACTTCCAACAGAAAAGGCTTTGAAAAGTTACGTTTGGGATTACAAACTAATAAAAGCCAGGAAGTTCTCGGGGAGAGCCCGGGCTCTATCTTTAGCAGAACGGGGGTGAACACCCTCCCCCAGGGTGGGGAATAAGGCGAATTTGTTTGCTTTGGAATTTGGTCTTTCCTGGTTTTGTTGGAATCCTGACTCCCTCATAAATGCCTGTGAGAGCCAGCTTTCTTGGAAGTGTTGTATTTCAGGGATAGCCATTCGTCAGGAACAGCTTTGAGACAGGTTGGAATTACCCCAGCATGCATGGCCACCTTTTCAGAGGTTGAGTGATACACTGCTAAAACTTCATCAGCATCCTCAGGTGAGTTTCTTCCTCTGACAAATGGACATAATGAAAGCTGCCCTTTGTGGAATGTTAGTGTCTACTGGGCACTCTACTGAATTCTTCCCATAAACTGCTCATTCGATAAATGTATTGAGTACCTGCTGTGTGCAGGACACACTGGGAACACAGCCATGAACAAAAAGGACAAGGTCCACAGCCTTATGGGAGCTTATCTCCCTAAGTATATACTACGTTCTCTCATGGAGTCCTTAACAATTCTGCAAGTTGTAAAAATTATTGGCCAGGCTTGGTGGCTCATGCCTGTAATCCCAACACAGAGGTGGGAGGATTGCCTGAATCCAGGGGTTCGAGATCAGCCTGGGCAACTTGGCGAGACCTCGTCTCTACAATAAAAATTTAAAAATTAGCAGGGCATGGTGGTGTGCACCTGTAGTTCAAGCTTCTTGGAAGGCTGAAGTGGAAGGATTTCCTTAGCCCAGCAGGTTGAGGCTACAGTGGCCATGGCACTCCAGTCTGGGCGACAGAGTGAGCCTCCAACAGAAAAAAAAAAAAAGGATTATTCTCCCCGTTTTACAGACAAGGAATTATGCTCACAAGAGTAAAATGATGGGTCTCCAGTTAGTGAAGCAGCAGAGCTGAGATTCCTAACCCAGGCCTGTTTGCTTCCACAGCTGGGACAAGGCAAAGAAATGATAGTTTGAGAATGACACTGATATGTGGAATGGAAAGAAACAGGCTCAGAGTGGGAGAACCTCACATGGGTTTGAAGAGTGAATTAACACTATCCAATTAGTACAGGAAGCCTCCTACTAAAATTTCGTGGCAAATTAAATCTGGGCCCCTGGCTGTCCTGGGCCTCTGGCTGAAGTTTACCCCAACTGCACTTGGAAGTGCAACTCAGGTCCCCCCAGTTGCTACAAAAGATGAATTTTTACATGCATACCACACAGATGTCTTTTCATTCATTCTACAATTACAAAGCAGCTCATGCACATCAAGACACTATTTCAAGTAGTAGCGCCACAAAAATTACCTGACAGTGGCCCTGCCATTCTCCCATTTGGTGATTACAACTCCCAACGCAGATGATGTGGGACAGTACAATAGTGTGCAGAGTTGGTGTGAAGGGCATTGAGAGTGTCAAAGGAAGGAGAATCTAGCTATTCTGATAGGAAGGAAAGAAGGCTACAAAGAGGTGCAGATATTGGTAACCAGTTACCCCCAGATTTAGCAGCTTAAAACTGAATATATATTTAATATGTCTCAATTTTTAGAGGTCAGAAGTTGGGCCACAGCATGACTGGGTCCTCCGCTCAAGGTCTCATCAGGCTGAAATCAAGGTGTGGGCCAGGCCTTCTCATCTGGAGCTGATACTCTTCTTCCAAGCACATTCAGGTTAGTAACATTATTCAGATCCTTCCGGCTATCGGACTGAGATTCCTAATTTCTTACTGGTTGTTGGCCAGGGGTTGCTCTCAGTACAAGCTACATGGTTCTCTCACAACATGACAGCGTATTCCTTCAAACCTAGCCGGAGAATCCTCATACAGTTGGCTATAAAGGAGTCCTGAGAGTGACTATCCTATCACTTTTGCCATATAACAACCTAATCAAAGAAGTAGCTATCCACCCTGTTCACAGGTGCTACCCACTTTCAAGAAGAGGGAATTACACATCAAGAGGTATAATTATATGCCATATTAGAATTCTGCCAGTCGTAGTGCCAGTGACCTATTTTGAGTATAGACTGTTAGTTAAAGGCAATAGCTTTCAAGCCAATCTAGTTGGGTGCTGATGTTTACTTATATATGCATGACTGTGGTGACTCAAACCACATTGTACCTTGGCTTCCTCATTTGTAAAGTAGGAATGTTGCACCTAACTGCACCTATTCCTAAATAGAGAGGATTAAAAGAAATTAATGTACGTAAAGTACTTAGAGCAGTGATAGGCACCTAATAAGCATTTAATAAATGTAAGCTATTACTACTGTCTGTTCATCTAGCCTGTGTAATAAATGAACATCTGTTATTTTCTGCCTGCTTAGCTTCCATTTCTTTATTTCTAGTAATAGTATCTCAGCCGGGCTCGGTGGCTCAGCCTGTAATCCCGCGCCTTTGGGAGGCTGAGATGAGTGGATTGCCT